AATCGCCAACACTGGCGATTGCATCAAGCTTTGCTTGATACGCTCAAAGGAGCGCTGACAATCAGCGTTCCAGTTCCACTTTACATTTTTCTTGAGTAAACAAGAAAGATGTACTGTCATTTCGGCGTAATGGCGCGAGTACTTGTGCAAGTACGCCGCTAGCCCAAGGAACTTCCTTAGTCCCTTGACATCGACTGGCACTGGCCAGTCGGTGATCGCCTTGATCTTCTCTGGATCAGGGCGTACGCCGTTCTTTCCGACGATGCACCCAAGAAGAGGTATTTCGCTAGCTGCGAATATACACTTCTTGAGGTTGGCGTACAACTTATGCTCTCGCATAAGTGTAAGAACCTTACGGACGTGGAGTCTATGGACTTCCACGTCTGTTTTCCCGTCCATAGCCCGACTATGGACGAACACATCATCGAAGTAACTCGGTGCGAATTCGCGCACCGGTCTCAATAGATGTGAAACACATCTATTGAATGTGGCTGGTGCATTACTAAGCCCTTGCGGCATCACCAACCATTCCCAGAGCATACCACTGGGAGTGCTCACTGCTGTGTACGGGATGTCCCGTTCACGCATTAGGATCTGATAGAAACCATCCATCAGATCCATGGACGAAAAGATGGTACTCTTACACATACCATCTATGATTACGTCCTTTCTCGGTATCGGCGTTTGCGCCGGTATCGTTGCAGCGTTCAACTTATTGAACGCGTGCACTATCCGCCACCCTCCTGTGGCCTTGCGCACACAGAAGGTCGGAGAGCTGTGAGGTGAAGCTGACTATCTCACATGGCCCGCTGCTAGGCGATCGGCAAAGAACTTGTCGATCGCCTCGACCTGTTCCCGAGGCAGTGGCCACTGCTTCATGACACAATACTTGTGCCAGGAACAAGGTCGATCTCGTGTCAAGTACCTTTATCCTTAGGTAACTCGCACGGAACGGATTCAGGGAATACATCCTTGAATTCGACCAAATCCTTATACAAAGGATTTGACTTCAGCGACTCCCAGGATTGCGATGTATATCGCTCAATCCGAGTCTTCTCATCAAGGACACTCTCGTCCATTGATGAGCTGCTGAGAACCCGTTCGTTCTCGGCAAAAACTGTTGCTGACCGAATGTCAGTCATGTGCTCGTCCTCTGCGACGAGCACACAGATCTGCTTGACTTTGCCACTACGCAGATCATGCAAGAACCTTTTAGGTTCTAGCGTATGCAACTGAGTTATCTCCGAAGTTAACTTCGGAGGCGCGATCAGATCAAGCGTATAAGCGCCTACGTTTGATCCGTCATTAACCAAGACGTTCAACGTCTCGGTTACTTCCTGGGGACTTATTCCCTCAGGGCACTGGGGACTTATTCCCGCAGGCTCGATGGAACTTGTTCCATCGACTTCCTCTAGCTGTGGTGGCGCAACCACAGCAAGATCCTCTACGATCAACTCTCCAGTTGATCTAGGATTACCGTGTTGCCGCTTCTGGGCAACCGGTTTACTCTTCGGTGAATGCTGCCCTCTAAGCGAGCATTCATGTCCCGGTCCACTCGGCTTATTCGAGTGGTGGACCTTCGGCGCTGCCTGTGCTTGTGCACAGCCGCCGGCAGCTTGCTCCACAGCGTGACTGTCTGTCACGCTGAGTTCTTGTGCAGTCGTACTAACGACCGAACCACAAGTGAGGCCATCACACTCACTCGTAGTACATTCACACGCTTGTGAACGCTCCAAGACGTTCATCAGATGGCCATCTGATGAACAAGCGGCAGGCATCTTCACGGTTCGATGCTGCCAGCTGACCCATGGCTCGTACCTTCTGAGCCATGGTAATCCTAGAATGACATCAAATTTGTCATCCAGATCAAGTACGATGAAATCATCATCGTACCTTTTGCCTTCAAGCGTGTAGTGAATTCCCACTACACGCTTCTTTACTGTTACGGATGCGCCCGTTGCAAGGCGCACCGTCATCCTCGTTGGAGGGGTCTCGCGCTCAACATATTTGAGCCTACGATCATCTAGCGATTGGCGTCGAACGAAGTTGTTCGAAGCCCCACAATCAACTAGGGCGCGAAGTGACATGTTCTTGGTCACTTCGATCTTCAATGTGATGAGGGATACCTCATCACTGGGAGCGGCAACACACAGTGACTGTGTGTTGGGAGCAACCTTCGTCAAGAGTCCCGCGAACTCTCTTGACGTTGCTGGATCAGTAGGGCGCTCCGCCCCTACTGACCCCAACCGTTTTTTGATGGTCCACCACGTTGTTGCGATTTCGCAGCAACGTGGGACCCACGTCTCTGGCCCTTCTTGGCAGACGGTCTATCGTCACTCCCAGTGTTACGAGACACTAGACGTGGGGCACTACACTCATAAGCGTAGTTTCCCAGCTTCTGACAGCGATTGCACTTTTTAATCGCTTGTACCCTGGAGAGCGAAGTCGCTCGCTCTCTACATAGGAGAGGTCCATTGGTTCTGGACCTCCGCCCTCCTGTCGTCTCGGTGGACGATAGGACCCCGAGTGGACGTGAGCCTGTTGCAGGCTAAAGTCCTCCTATTCCGCTGCAGAGATCGCTTGATCCAGCGATTCTAGTTCCAAGCGGAACAGGTGGGTCTTGACAGGACCATCTTTCATACCCTTGATGAACATAGTAACCAGCGTGTGTTCATCGATTGGGTTCAGTACGATACAACTAACGAGGTATCGTACGTGTTGGGCGTAAGCGTGTATATCACGCTTACCCTGTTCCAAATCCAGGAGCTCAGCCCGAGCCCTGAATTTGGCGCGAGGCGGTTCAAACGTGGGTTTGAGCCGCGCCTTGAAGACGTCATACGTTGGGAAAACGTATGGGTCGTGCAGTTTGAGCCCTAAGGCCCAAGCTTTGGCACGTCCTGCCAAGTTCGACATGGCGAACTTGACCTTCATCGCATCGTCATCGATGCGACGAGCCTCAATGGCATCGTCGAGCTCGACGAACCATCTCAACAAGGATTCGCTTTCGACTGCCTTGTACTTGGAGACATCAATCTTCAAGGACTCGGGTCGACGTGTATACGTCGACCCGGCAGCAACAGCACTAGCCTGCTGTTGTCTCAACAGTTCAGACTGTTGAGCACCCTGCTGCATCAACCAGTCAGCTTGTTGAGCGCCTTGTTCTCTCAACAGTTCAACCTGTTGATAACCTTGCTTCTCTAGCAAGGTGAGTTTCTTTACAACTTCGTCAAGTTCATGTTGTATGAACTTGGCGATGGTTGCATGTTGGTCGTCTCCGCTAAGAGAGAGCAACATGGCACCAACGGCAGGGTTGCCGATGGTTTCAGCCATACGCTGAACAGCATTCCATTCGAGGTCACTCAAATGGCGAAAATCATCACGCGTTGCGTGATGACGTTCATCACCCGCTGATTCCATAGCGGGTGGTGCGGTGGTCGCTGAACGGACCACGAAGTGCTACCAGGTGTAATGGGGCACCCTCCGACTATACTGATTACAGTATAGTCTACTTTCACTGATTACAGTGAAAGCAGGTGCCTCAATTACCTCTCTTACACAAGAGGCAGAGGAAGCTTTACTTCTAAACAAACGCTTAGAAGTAGAGGAAAAGAAAACTGTATTTAATATAGTTAACTATCTTAATAAAACTAATCTGTTATAACCTATGTTAACTATATTAAACTACAACTATGTATGTTGACGACTTGCCCTCCACTCATCGCGCGCGTCCATCGGTCATTGGTCAGCGCGTTGGTTGATATGATGGCCCATATCAACCAATGAGAGGGCATCTCCAACTTCAAGGAGATCTAGGAACAATATTATTAGAAAAGGTAATATTGTCAAAATATTATTAGTTATAATAATATTTTTATTGACACTTCATATATCGGTGTTGTAACGGGGTGAGCCCGTTACAACACCGATTTCATTACTTTTCTCACATCTACAGTACCGGAAGTCTCACAAAGTGACCTGGAAAGAATAGCAAATACGATTATATGACGGATGCTAACAACATTAATGTCATACAGCTGCAACAGCAGCATCACATAGCTCCTGCATCTTGCAACGGCGGCAAACTCTCCTTTAATAAGACGTTCAGCAACAACGGAGGAAGACGTGAGAGAACAAACTAAGGACCTTCGAATCGGAATCACAGCGGACACGACGGACCATGAGAGAGCGTGGGTCACGATCCCAGTGATCAAGTCACAACTAGCCGCGCATTCCCACAGACGAGCCGACGACCAAAGCCAAAAAAAAAAGAGTCTCTACTCAGTAACGCTGGACGAAAGAAAAAGGCACAACGGTCAAATAAGCACGCCACTCTACAGTTCGAGAAAGGAGAGGCGATGCAGCAGGCAGGGGAGCCTTCACTCGCCGTGAGATTCCTACCATCTCATCGACGGACTACTTGATGAAAATTGTAGGCCGGAGTACCGTAGAGCGATCTATTCCAAGATATTCGAGGATCGACGTTCGGATCCCTGCCATGGTAAGATCAAGCTGTGTTACGACAAGAAATTTCTCTTCATCGTCGCGCAATTGGGAGAAGACGATGTTCCTCGCGGTGTGCTGGAACGTACGCAATGGCAAGGGCTAGATCTGACGGACGCAATTTTAACCTCGACATTGGTTTACGGAATGTAATTGGTGGTGTGCTTCCACCGTGACGTTCGAAGTATCAAGCCAATATACTGCATGCACCTGACTCGTCCGCAAGCGAGCAAAGCGTGTGTGTGTGCTTTATGAAACTAGTTGAAGCGAGTACATGTACGTAGTTAGATATATTTAATATATAAATGTGTACTTCTAGCGCTTTCAGCAGTTCTGACATCTGCAATTCACGTTTGAATGCGTGTAAGTGTTGACTAGTGCTTGTACTAATGCATATTCATAGCTACAGCCGAGAAACACACTTAGCGATGCTGGGGGGACCCCACTTTGACTGCAGATTAGACCATGTATAGCGGAAAAGGATGTAGTGCATTTACCTTCTAAAACTCTGCGACATAAAGACCTACAGCCGAACCAATCTTATACTTGTTTCCCGTGAACGAAAGCAACCCCGTCTTCCAGTCCACTTTGAACACAAACATATCGTTCGTATCCTGGTTGGCCACAATCAGATGCTTATGGTAAACCACAAAGCTACGAGGACACTTTCCTCGGGTTTTCTCCCATCCAAGCGACACGAGGGTACCATTGGTCTCAATCTTGAAAATCGCAATGGAGTCGTGGCCGCGGTTTGAAGTGTACAGGAACTTGCCATTGCTGGACAAATGGATGTCAGCGCTGATACTAGTAATGTTCCCACTGTCACTCGGAAGCGTCGTGATTTCTTGTAGAGCCTTCTTTGACAATTTAGCGTCCTCGTTGTCGATTTCGTAAACGCTGACAGTATTGCTGAGCTCGTTTACAACGTACGCGATTTTGCCGTTAGGGTGAAGTGCCATATGACGTGGTCCAGCTCCACGGGAGCTCTTCACAGTCTTCATTTTCTTCAGCTTCTGCTTTTTTGGTTTCAGCTTGAACTGTAGCAATTTGTCGCTACCTAAGTTTGCAACAACAAGGTGATCCGAGTTTGGTAGCCACATAGAGCTTTGGATGTGGCCGGCCTCCTGTCGTTCCTTGACGACCTTGCTACCTTTCCGGAATTTTTTATGGTATGTCTCCTTGCCAAGAGAACCGTCATCTTCATTAATCGAGAACATCGTGAAACTGCCAGCGTAGTTGGAGACGACAACAAAAGTCTCGGCAGAGTTTAACGAGATGTGGGTTGGTGATCCACCGCGCGTTGGGAGCGTGTTTAGCAGCTTAAGCGTACCGTCGCCATTCAGGGTGAGGGCCGACACGTATCCAGTGACCTTGCCGCGCTTTCCAGAGACCACGTCGTCAACGGAGTTCACTGCATAGATCACTTTGTTGCCAGTATGAAACTTCTTGTGGGAAGCGAGGACGAATATGGGGTTGGTTCCCACCTCCGAGACCGCCCATTTCTTAAGGGATCCATCGTCCATGATCTTGTACGTGTAGATGCCTTCACCCGTACCATTAATCCAGCCCATGTCAGAGGTATAAGTCCCAGCAAAAAGGATCGGTTGCGTGCTTATATGGTGACTCGACCAAACGCCCGACACGGCGACCACGATGCAGAGGAGGAGACACAAGAAGTGCATCTTGAGGATCGCTCTAAAGTCTGTTGTGCACGGTGCTGCAAATAACAAAGTGAGCCAAGTCGAGTGCAGCGTGAATCCTGCGAGCCATTCATACCAGTAAATGGTAACGTCTCTATCTCGGTGGCCTGCTTGCTTGTCATTCTTGGCCGATCAGAAAAAGTAGGAAGGGCATCCAGTTTCATATCATATAGCAGCTGATGTATGTAGAAATGGAAGTTGCAAGGAGTCTGAACCAGCTCACATGACGCAAACGTCGTAAGAAATGATGATAAAGGATCACTTCAAGGAAGGTCAACTGCGAATCCTGGGCGGACGCTATGCGCTTTCTACATAATCCTTCAAGGCCCTCCATTTGTCTAAGCAGCACTCTGCCTCAATCGATATGGCTGAACCAATTACTCGCAAATGCTTTTTCATTCTTGTCTCTGCTACAATCTGTAGAGTGTTAAGATGAACGACGCATTCATGTCATCGACAATGGTCTCGAACATGACAAAGTCATGACAACAACCAATTGTCAAGTACAATTCCTCCTCTTCTGTCTCAGCTGCTCATGCTCAAAACATGGAAACTGCCAGATTCCAAATTCTGCTTGTGTCTGATCCGCAGACCAGACATGAGCATGAGCAGTACTTCAACCACTTCGTATCATGCCTTCGACCACTTCTTCTCTCATCCGTATATGGTCCTTTGGCTGATGCTGTAACCTACTACTTCTCCTATCTGCTAAATAATGTCGGTCCCGCTGAGGTGTCCTAGTTAATGATAGAGTACGTGTCCTAGCAGTGAATCTACAGAAGTGCGAGCGACAACAAACATATTGCATTGATATCTATGTAGGCTCTTGGCAGCGTGCTTGAAAAGGCTAGTTACAGATCAATATGGGATGAGAATTGTCAGTATCCAAGTCATAAAGTGTCTGCATCAAGTCGGTGTGTGCCGATAAAGTTCTCACCGGCGCCGATCACGTTCAAGAAGTTGGAAACGTGTACAAGTTGCCTGCCGTCGCATATCACATCACTTGACGTTCGTAATTCCTATTGCGCACCGACGTTCTTGAGATAATGCATTCGCTTGTGAGCCTCTGCTGCGATTCGCTGCAAAGGTGGTTTATCTTGCACATGCCACGGCTGAAAAGTGAAAAACTGGTCTTCATGTTCGAAAGTCTCTTCGAAACCGCACCATATCATGAAACATGTGGCTACTTCACTGCCTAGCACGCCAACGTTTGCAGCAAAATACTTGTTGCTCGCGCGAATACGCTGGAATTTTGACTCTTCTGGATGTTGCGCAATGTTATCTAGGTATCGCAATGCTGAGAGAGTAATGCAAGGTAAGCAATCCATGCGGTTCATTCATGTCCTAGCTCCGTCCGTACCGGCAGAAATTGCAAGTTGGCGGTTTGGATCTTCACCGGAAGGCAGTATCTTCTGAAGGTCTTGAGCCAATTTACCTTCCATGATGAGTTTGTAAGTATTTGGGCACAACATAACACTAATTATCAACAAGGCAGCCACTACACGTACTTTCGAGCGCTTTGATCGGTGTGGCCTGAAGCACAAACACGCTGGCATCAGTCAAGTGATCACCAATCTTGAACGATATGGAGCGGATTTCGCTGTCTGCAGGTGTAGGCACATTAAAGTCACCTCCTCCCTTGCCTCCGCACGTGATTGAACGCCCAAAATTGGTGTGCAATGTAATGCTGTCGATCCAAACACCCTTACGACCACTCATTCGTGTGATGATCTCGTCCGGTAACAAATCAAGCATGGCTGTTGGTTGAGACGCTTGACGTTGCGCGTTAGCATTCCCCATCAGCGAGCCAAACACGGTGACAGGCGCATCGTTTAGGTCGTCTATCTTGTCGTAAGCGAACTGAAGACCGTCAAAACAGTCACTTCCCCACACTTTACATTAACAAGAAGTCAAACACATAATGTTATAACACGCACTGCAAGCTCACACAATTAGTGGCAGTATTCGAGTGAACCAACTTACTCAAAATGCGCGCGACACGATACACTGATTGAGCTTCAGCGGCAACTTCAGAACACCTCTCGCCGCCGCGCTCACCGTCGGACCTGAATGCCTTCAGAGGCGGAACAGATACGAATGCCTTCATACCAGCGCAAAAAGTTTGAGCTTCATCCAGGGATTGTACAGGTATCATGGCCACGTGGCTTATTACAGCAGCAATGCTTGGATAAGTGCTAGCAGGTCCCTCGATAGTAACACCACTTTTTTTCCTCGACACGCTCCATCAAGCACCAGCATCTCCGTTCCATTGATGTACATTGCGATAGCATTTTCGCCTAGTAACACAGCGATGTGCGCATACTGACCAAAGGCTAACAACGAAGTCGTACATATAGCCGTCTCTGTAGTCTCCTTCTTAATTTGAAGCTCGCACGAAAACTGCCGCTCTGAGTTGCTCCAGTGTATACAAAAGATTGGCGGCGTCGGGTCGGGAGATCCAATTCGACCAGCTAGAACTCTGATCGTAACGTCTTCGTTATCTTTGAGCGCCTTGTTCCGATCAAAGCGAACAAGAAATGACAGCAAGACGTCTGTAAGGGGTAGCAAATTGTGACCCGCGATTGACAAAAACTTTCCACCAAGTAACTGCATCCCAAACGCCTCATCATTCCTTCCGCTTCCAGCTCCGTTATGGTCATCATTTGTCGGGCCTGCATTCGGAATGCGGAATGGCTTACGCAACCCACAACGCTGAGAATTGTCTGCGTGATTGTCATGACCTGACACGTCAAGCAGAGGCACGCCTCTATCGCTACATGTAGAAGGGATGTCTTGCAGTGGTAAGTACAGCAAAGGTTGATTCTTCCACATAAAATTACGAAGCTCTGTACGTGTGAGTGGACACAGAAGCATCATGAGGGCTTCTGACGAGAAGCGTACGGAGCTCAAATTTGATGCCACTTGAATAGCTTGGGCAGCACGCTCATTTACATCGGGTGGCACCCTTGTACGATTTGACCGCGTCCGACCAGTGAAGCAAAAAGGATTGGAGCATTCTGAGAATTGACAACCAACCACCCAATTTCGGCATATATCTTGCAAAACCTTTTCAGCTGGCACAGAAGTGGATGTTGCCGCTAAAGGTGACGCACTTGCAGTGCTGACGGGCACGTTTTCTTGTTTTCCAGCTTCATTACGACGGTTTTTCCATTCAGCCGATCCTGAAACACGTCCATTGACCTCGCTGTTTCGAGCAGAGCGTCCGTATAGTAGCTCATCGCGCTCAGCTGTTTTACGTTTCGTCAAAATCGCTACCCTTTCAGGACTTTGCCGTTCCCAGAGGCCACAATTCATTTGATTGATAGTCGTCTCCAGCCACTTTTCACTGACATCCTGACGCCTTGTGAGCATTTCGGACCAGTTGAGCGTGTATCGCCTAGCCGAGTCTACCACTTCATCACGACCAAACGAGAAAATGTACGACAGCTTTTTGCCCCATCCAACCTCATATGTCAAAGGACAATCAAGCTGCTCTTCGCATGAATCGCAGTGCAGCCACCGCTTATAGTGCTCAGAATACACCTCAGTCCACACGTGGTCCGTAACATCAAGAACATAACGAGCCTCAAATCCCATTGCGCGGCAGCAGAGTGTGAAGCAGTTTGCCCATTCTCCACATCGACCGGTACGTGTATCCAACAACTTAACTGGATCATTGTAACGAGGAAATCGAGTATAAGCCCCACATGCAGGGCACTGATACACCTCAACCCGGCCGGCCTGACCAGCTATCTCTTCAGCGGTGCTGGGGCCCTCCGTCCGTACCGATTGTGTTTTTTCGTATTTACATACCGAGCAATGAGGTTGGTTCATCCATGTGAAGAACTCACGCTTAAACCAGCGCAGTAATTGCTTAATCAATTCGTCCTGATAGAGTGACATCGGTGACGTGTTAGATCGAGCACGTTCGTGTAGCGTGTCCACTGGGATTCGCTTGAGTGCCTCTTCCTGCATCTTTTTATTTTCGTATGACTGTGCACGTTGCAACCCGCTTTGTAATCGCTTCAACATACTCGGTTGATGTTGGCGGTAGTGTTCCTCCATAATCGTCGCATCTCCACGCCTTCTATCGGCTGCTAAAGCAGCTTGAGCAATGGTCAGCCGTTGCTCTTCAAAATCTAGTACGCTTTTCACTCGAGTCAGATGACGGGTTGCAAAAAGACATTCTCCGAAGTCGCTGTGCTCTGTGCCGGAATCACACGCGAAGCCGCCCAGAGGTAGTAAACGATAGTACAGGAAAACAGGTAGAGAGCCCATTGCACCTTCGTTCAAATTTCGTGTGATCTTGACGTACCCCGGAGAAGGAACAGGCTGATCGCCAACAACAATGGCAATATCAGTGATGGCGAGCGTTTCGAGCTGCTCTATATTGCCTTTGAGCTGCACTGAGTCATATCCGATACGACTCCTCATTTTCAATCCATTAATAGCAGTGCTACCACTATCGCAGGCAATCTCAACCAATTTTTCTGGTTTATACGATATTGAATCATTCACGGGGGGCATAGCATCGCCAGCGCCTCGTTGCTCCGAGAGAACGCGGATCTGCGTCAATGCTCGCGGACCGCCACGCTGAACACACAGGTACATATAGTTGCCCGACGCCGAGTACTTTAAATCCACTGGTAACTTTATAAATCCAGACGGTGCAGCAACATCCACGTCTCCAGCAACAACAACTACATCGGAAATGAACCGTGATGCCATCAATTGTGACGCATTCCACTCCATTGGACTCACAGGCTGGAAACCTATATCCACAACAAACAACATTGTAAGCAGCTGATTGATTACTAAAAAGTATCACTCCCACCACCACGTTTTACCTGTAGTGCAAGTCCTCGCACAAGGTTCACAGATAAAACCAAACTCCGAATCCCTCGGAGTAATTTTCTGAAAAGCTGGTTGTACCACTGCAGCATCTCCAAATGTACTTTTGGTGCAAATTTGTCTCCAATCGTCCGCAAGTTCCGACAAATTCAACGTCGAGTCAGTACTGGAGAAGAGAAAGAAGCGAGGACGAGTTTCCGTCGATATTGCGACTGTCACCACGTCAGACTTCCTAGAAACGGACAGCACTTTTCCAGTACTGGAACACATTAAGATTTGCTCGTCCGGTATCACTCCAACAAGCGAAAATAACTGACATTGGAACAAATCCAGAGGAAGCGACTTTCGATCGAAAAAAGCTTGAGCTGCAACGTAAAACCTGCGCGTTAAAACGACCAATATAGTACGTTAGTAGTACATAAAAATGTCGTCACATATGATGCTAGATATTGCTCGTATTGGACGCACTCTTGGTGCTGGAAAACTACTACAACATCCACCGTCGTAAGAATATCCATGAATTTACTGTACTGCATCGACAATTGAACGTTTGTTTCAAAAGTCGTTTGAGTGGTGGCTTTTCAAACAAACGTTTGTTTCATGTAACGGTCTACGTAAAACATGTTTCGTTTCAGCATGAAAAAATGTGCTAAAATTCCCGCGATTTCAACATCATAATAACAACAAAAATCGTTTTAACAAACTGCTGATAGTACTCAAGATGCAGGATTATGCTCGGGGCAGCCCTCGCACTTGCAATCATCTCCGCATGTACATTCTCCTCCAGAGTACATCCCACAGCCTGGTACAGCCCAGCCAACAGCTAATGCTGCAGTATGAGCAACAGTCGTCATGTACCTTGGACAACCAATTTGCGGGCAAATACGCATATTACACTTGTGATTCTCCTGGTACTCTTTTGTATTGGCCTCTTCATGAGTCGAAGGTACAAGAGGTGATGGCACCACTTCCACCGGTATTCCCCAGGCTTCTTCGGACAGCTCAAGCATCTTAAATCCAATACGCCCAGCAGCTTTCACAAGCGGAGTGGGGTCCAACAGCATAGCTACCACTAGAACTTCAACGCGATCTGTAAGTAGCACGAGATTCTCAACGCCCTCAACAGCTCTCAAGGCTTCTTCTAGCTTCACACCGTTGAATCCCACGTCACTCAGATCATCCACGCGGAAACGAAATCGACGAGGTAGTGGAGTTTCTGCATCAACTTCCGAGTCGAAACCAACGTCTAGTACGGCCGCACAGAGATCATCGACGTTCATATCTCCGCGTATAACGACTTGACGATGCTCAAAGCGTAACCTGGCGGCTTCCACCTCGTCCACTACCCGCACTGCGTTGAGCACCGATGAACCGCAGTTTCCAGGACACATCATATCAGGCACCCGTAGCACTACTTCTTTTCGCGTCCATTCCGTTGACGTTTGTTCAATTACATTAATCTCAGCAACATTGAGACTTCTCAGCGGTGTCAGAAAAATGTCTGGGTCCAACGATTTATCTCCACGCACGATAACACGATGCAATGATGGGGTAGCTCCTGAGCTACAATCGGTCACCAATGCTCCATTTTCCGACGAAGATTCGGTCGAAAAGAAAAGTGCGGAGCTGTCTGGTATCAAGTGCACACTCCTAATTCCCGACATCGTCGCCAATATCGCCACAATCGCCTCGACGCTCATTGATCTTGTGTATGGCTTAATCTGTAGTACAACACGAGGCATCATGGTGGCTCTCGGCGTTGATGTGCTACCGGTTTGAGGCAGAAGCTCAAAGTCGCTGATGCCGGTACTAATTTCGTGGCAGGAGGACGAGGCAACGCTGGTAACGGTGTTGCTACTCTTTAGTATTGCAGCCATTGGCGACGTAGCTAGCGACGTTGGACTATTGCACGTACAATTTGCAACACAGTTGCAGCTTCCCCCAAAACTACGAGCACAACCGTTGTCCAGGCACTTGGCAACATGTGAGCCATCGCACCGAGTGTTTGCTGCAGTTGGAGAGAGCGACGGAAACGACGCAAGCATAGACGTATCCACGCTTTCTGGAGTTGGTATGGCACTGGTTCGAGGGCTATCATTCAAGTGATCAATGGTTGCGTAGTGCTCACTTGGCCCAACCTGCGTGGGTTTTACTGTTGTCTGCTTTTGACTTCTTAAACACGTCGCGCACATTGTTCCAGTATCGTTGGGCGAGCGCACCAGTCTCCTACAGCTCAAAACAGAGCACACACTTGATCCACCATGATCAGTGCAGAGTCCCGTGGCACCTCGAGCCGGCTGCCGACAATTCCGTCGACCACATCGTCTCGCACCGCCATGAGCTCGACATTTACCTCCTCCTTGACAAATCTTGGTACATCCTGGCTCCGAACAGCGCTTCCCACCTCCATGAGAGGTACAGAATCCTCCACCGACATCAGCTTTAGGACATCCAGCAATCTGACAACGCTTTCCACCGCCATGAGCTCGACACATACCCCTTCCGGCGTCTACTTTCTCGCACCCAGCCACTTGACAGCGTGCACCACCGCCATGTCGTCTACAGAACCCTCCTGTTTGATAACCCTTAGGACATCCCGGGAACAAGCACTTTTTACCGCCTCCGTGGGCTACACACGACCCTCCACCAGCGTCCACTTTGGTACAGTCGGGATAAGAACATTGTCGTCGCTGGCGCTTCTTGTCAATAGTTTTAGGACAAGAAGAAGACGATAATACATTTGTATGTGCAGACGATGCATCAGATACAACAGTCATTGAGTTATTATCGTCACTTGTGCTCATTGCTCGCCGTGTTTGCAGCCGTCCGGAATCAGCGGAAGACGAGGAATTTTGCAGGTCATATTACTGTTTGCTATTGCTACGTTAAGTACGGCAAATTTAATTTGGCTACAGGTTTTAACGCTAGTATTATATGAGGGGACAGACATACTGTATCTGATGTGGAGTATCCCCCGTAAAGCTCGTTGGGTTGTACCAGTAGAATGAGCTAAAAGCATAGAAGAACGACGTAGTCGTGGCAGAAGATGATCAGAGGATTTCCTCACAGAGATATCGTAAACAATCACAAGTATTCAATAGACAGGTCTGATGATCACATCATAGACAGTCTGATGATCACATCATATTGACTAACGGCTGTGGAACTCCATCCAGTCGCCGTTTTATATCAGTCATAACATGCAGCTACTCATGTTCCACGATACCGAGATTGAAACTCTCCTGCATCTCTTTTGCTAAAGGTGCCAAAGACACCGCAAAGACATTAGTACTGATCGACAATCAGTCTCAGCAGCATTATTCAAATTGCACCTTCATCAAGATTAAGGCGAAAGTTTCGATTCTCAAGCTCACGAATAGTGGCGTCTAGCTGCTTCTCACTCAATTGTGCCAAAACTATTTACACAGTCATGCATGGTTGGTTATATCTACAGTAACAACGTGATACCCCCCAGGCATAAGAGACCCACAATTAAATTCGCGGTCGCCCGCCATTAGCGCAGGCTTTTTTTGGTGCATCAAAAATTCAAACAGCGATTCCAACTCCTTCGTCAATGGAATGGTCGGCGTGATCGTCTGCAAGCAGCCAGCAAGAGTTATTTTACATCATTAGCTTCATACATATCAAGCATTCAGTATACTAGACTTAAAACACTCGCCTCCGGTAACAAACTCGACATTAAAGCGCAACTAAATTTGTTTTATCAAGATGATACTCAGAGAAATAGTAATAGTACTATTTCAGTGGCTAAATAATAGTACAATACTCTTTTGATAAGATTCGATGTCAATGCTTATGCGACGGTCGTTACTGGCGCGTCGCTTTCGCGTCTTCACGGCGTCGTCTCTGTCTCTAAATCAACGTGCTTCCTTCTTCTCATTCCCGTCTCCATCTCGGCCACTGGTCAAGTCGCACACTGAGACACGTGTCGTTCCTTTTTCGCGTACTCAAATGTTTGACGTCGTGGCTGATGTAAACCGATACAGCGAGTTTCTTCCCTTTTGTGTCGAGTCTCGTGTCCTTCGAAGACCGAATGATAATGTTATGGAAGCGGCGTTACGTGTTGGCTTTAATATATTTACAGAGGCTTATACGTCCCGTGTGCTTATGATCCGGTAGGTTCATTCGTTATGATACAGCTATAAGAAAAAATGAATCTCATTTTTGACCTTATTGCTAATTCATTGGTGTGGGTTTCAGACCCGACAAAATTGCAACGAAAGCGATTGACTCGCCGACGTTTAAGCGGATTGAGAGGTTAGTTGATGCTGTATGTGGGGGATATTCTTTGAGGAATCTAGTATGTCATTGACTGCTCTATTGTTTCTTTTGGGTGGGTAATAGTGAGTGGATTTTTAAGCCATGTAATACCCCTGGAAGCTGTGAGATTGAATTCAAGGTCACATTTGAAGTCTCGTCGTTCCTGCATGCAAACGCTATCCAGCTTTTTTTCGACGATGTCGCTCTCACCCAGCTTAACGCGTTCATTGGACGAGCTCGAAAGATGTACAAGTCGACTCCGCAGTCAGTTCCACCAATTTCTTTGAAGAAGGACGAATCTGTTTTGTTGGTGGAAGGGTCCACTGCAGAAACTGCAGAAACTGATGCGTCTAAAAGGACCGATTCGGCTTTGTCATCCGAAAATGACAAAGCACTGTTACAAGCGCCGGAAGGAAGAGCATCACGCCGCATCAAAGGTTGCATTTCCACGCAAAACTACAAAGATCTGGCTGCTGTATTCGACGACTACGCCGACAAGAACGGCAAACTTTACTACGGAGGGTTTACGGCAGCTTGCATGGCACTCAGTGGCGAGTATGAAGACATGAAGGACGTCAGTGAAAGTGCCACGCTAGCGGGAGCAGTTTTTTCCAGCTTCGAGACGCATGCTACACCGAAGGATTGGCTCACGCTGGATGAGTTTGTAGTTGGTGTGTATTTGATGACCAAGGGCACATTCGAGCAAAAAGCACACAACCTATTTGAGGCTGTAAATTCTACTGGGAACGGCAAAATTACTCGTGAGGAGCTGACACGTGCAATGCAACACCGAATTTGCGCTGTGAAGAAGCTTTTCCCCAATTTGCTGCGTGACCAAGTACAGATCCAAATGGGAAACCAAACGTCCGAAGAGCTGTCATCCGTCCAAGAGGCAGCTGTTGCGACTGGTGTTCAGGCTATTGAGCAGCTGATGGAGGCGGTTGAAAAAGAAATACCATTCGCCGTGAATCAGATCTTCCGTGAAGCCGACCTAGATCAAGACGACTACATCCGCGAGGAGGAATGGATGTTCGCGTGGCAGGCGCACCCGGAGTTTGTGGAGTTGCTGACTATCGACGGCATGAAAAAGATGGCTCAGTGGGCTTCGGTCGTCCAAGATGTCAATAGCAAGGATAATCACGACGATGATGACAAGACGAACCCTTCTGGGCAGAGCCTTGACACAAGGCTAACGTATGTGGATTGAATCATTTTTCGATGGTATCCTACTAACAATAACGCCCATCTACGACGAACCTACGGGCATCGAACTCGCATTGACACGTAGTTCAAGCGTTCAACCAAATGCAATTGGCACGAAGGCTTGCTGTACATGCATGTACTGTAACCGTTGTCTGTAAGTGGGGCGGACTACAGATGAAGAACGGGCGAAACTTCAGATAAATGCAAATAAACACTATGTTTATGCCTCGACCATCGCATTTCGTCACCTTTATATGATGGAAGCATACAGAGCAATCATGCCATCATTTATACTCGCAGTAGTATAAAAATAACCCCAATAGAAATTTACGCTCAAATTTTGTGGTCTATCTCTAGGGGTTTGTTTAATGACGTTGAGGTGGGACAAATGGGTTTTTTAGTCAATCAAAAAAAACCATGTTCAAAGAAGCATTCGTTGAAATGGAACTACTACTTGTAGTAGTAGTAGTAGTAGCCTATTATTCATATTTATTAATTGGATAATACTACTAATATCCAAACAAATATCGGATATTTTCATATCCGCCCCCCACGATTTCGCTCACTTTAAAAGATGAGTCGGTCTACGCCCACCTCTCGCAGTCGCAAGAGTGCTACTACACCATCAGCATCCACGACAGAGACATTGGTTCTACGTGCAACACCTTCCATTAAGCGTTACAATATTGCACGCTTTGATGTGCCTGAAATGCCACGTTTTAGCTCATGTGCGCAGCCCGTCATGATGTACCGCGAACCCGAACGAGTGGACGAAGAAGACGAGAAAGAAGAAGAACCCGTGGGTTTTAACCCCGCATTACGGAAACGTCGTCGTCGTCGTCGGAAAGATACGCGAACAGCTGGTTGGGTGATTGAAGACAGTGAAGGGAAGAACAAGTTTAATGGCACATTCGAGGGTGGTCAATCGTCTACGTACATGTTACTGATTAAGAATCGACACAATGACGAGTTCAGTGTCATGACTGTGGAGCAGTGGTTTCGGTTCAAAAAGCCATTGAATTATCGGACACTGACGCTCGAGGAGGCTGAGGAGATGAACAATGAGAAGAAACGTGCCGTGGAACGATGGCTGATGAAGCACAAGCTCGCGGGTGACGATAAAACCGATGCCGCTGGAGGAGAGACGGTTAGTGCACCCCGTGTCCGTACAGGTGCATTGGCTACTTCATCTTTGTCGTCGGCTTCGAAGGCAAAGACTGAAGGTGACGACATTTTTGGTGCCACTGAGAAGGCACGTCCTCGACAGGCGCCACGTCCGAAAGCTCGTGGAGAAGGAGCGACGGGAGAAGATGGAGGAGACTTTGAAGAAAAGTTTGATGATGACGAAAGTGACGCGGAGATTCATCATGACGAACCGCAAGGACTTGAGTCAGATTCGGACGAAGACGAGTTTGAAGTGGATCCAGAAGGAACGGGTAAGCTGACTGAGACGGGCCAGGCCATGAAGGATTTATTGAAACGCGCGCAGAACGGAGAGATGCTAGAGAACAATAAGGACAATGAAGATGAGGACGAGGAAGAGGACGAGGACAATTTCACGGCCAATGATATGGATGTCATTAAGCGTGATTTGGGAGGAAACATCATCCGCGACCGTTCCGTTGCGCTGGGGGATGGTGCTGCCTCAGCTGACGCCAAGGATGGAGCAAGTGCTGCAGACGCCGGTTCTGCTCTAGACGCGAACGGCAAAGTGAAGAGCGCAGTGACCATCGGGGCGGATGGTGCCAATGGTAAGCGGAAGGCGGACGACAAACGCATGAAGGAGGAAACACCTCAGAAAATGGTAAAGACGTCTGCAGCTGCATCTGCAAACAAGCTTACGGAGGCTGGTGTGCAGCAGGAGCTTATTCGTTATGGTGGACGCATGCGCACGCGTGATCTGCTGCGGAAGTTGAAGAAGTTGATTGTTACGGACAATGACAAGGCGCTTCTTAAGGACATTCTGCGCACCATTTGTGATGTGGAAGTGGACGCAATTGACGGTCGATTGCTGGTGTTGAAGTCTCAGTTCCGTTAAACAGACCATGCGACGAGGCGACGAGCTCACAAAATTCATCTTCATCGATGGCAATCAAGAACAACAATACGTGGTTTGTCAGCCACATGCATTTAGCTTTCATTCCTTTAACAAATACATTTCTGCTTCTCGTCCACAGAAGTGTCCAAAATGTGCGCTCTATCTTATAAATTAGCAATGAATTTTAAACGTCAGGGACCATTGATATCGATCATCTTGTACAAGACCATAGAATTCCTTAGTCTATTATTAGATTTAATCCAAACTTACGGATAAATTGCGTCTATTTGTATCAAACTTTACGGCGGATTTTTTTTGATATTATCCCCCATTCATTTCAACATCGTCGGAACATGGCGAAGCGAGTGAAAATATCATGGCAAGAGGCCCTGGGCGAGCCAATACCGGTCGAAGAGCACGAGGTTTTGCCAAAGGACAAGAGAAAGAGCAAGAGTAAACACAAGAAGGTGGACTTTAAGCAGCAAAAGCAAAAGAAGCGGCATCCGAACGACGTAAAGACGGAGGAGGATATGGACGCGATTGTGGGCTTTGATGACAGTTTAAGAGACGAATTGGACGAAGAAATTGATACATTTAGTGGCGCTCAATTTGTAATGAATGATGTAGCGAGTGAATTGGCGCTCGTGGCGAGAACAGACGTCGATCAAATGGAAGAGAAGAAGAAGAAGAAGAAGAAAAAGAAGAAAAAGAAAGAGAAGAAACAAGAAGAAGAAGAAGAAGAAGGGACTGATATGTCTAAGGAGACAAAGAAGATGAAGCAAGGTTTGCAGTTGCTGGATACCGTAAATATTGATACAATCAAAAGAGTCACATCAGGAGCTCAGAAGAGTAAGAAGCAAAAACAGTCGGAAAAAGGTGCTGTCGCTGGAAACGTAGCTCAAGACAATACAAAGCCCACTAGTTTGACACAAAATGAAAAGAAAAACGACGAGGTGAAGAGTACTGCAAAGGAAGGAGGTGGTACTAAAAGTGACAAGAAAACAAAGAAAAAGACTCGGGTGAACCAGCAAATGCAAAATGAAGCACCACCTTTGAAGTGTCGGACTGACGTGAACTTGAAAAAATCGTTGAGGAAAGATGATTGTGGGAATGGTCAAGTTACCTATAGTGAATACTTGGACCTTAAAGTGGTTCTTCAAGGTTTAGAGACGGGCTACCTTCTTCAAGGCAAGCTTCGCGTTAACTCGATGTACCGTATGGATGGATACATTAGTGTAGATGGCTTGTCGGTGGATGTACTGACAAAAGGGATGCAAGATCGCAACCGCGCTTTTGACGGTGATTTAGTAGCGGTTCGATTGCATGCGGAATCAAAATGGAAACCTATGAACGATGACAGTGAAAGGAGAGCACTTGGTGCTGCTGAATCGAAGCCAATATCTTCAAGTATTGGAGTAGATCAGAACGCCCTGCATTCGCTGTGGCTTCCTAGCGTGGAGACCGATCCGTGCTTCTTGAAGCGATCGTCAGAGGAAAAAGACTCTGTTAACATGCTAGAACAGACTAGAGCTCGCCTAAATGAGCGCATTAAAGAATCTCGCCGCCGTCCGACCGCAACCGTGGTGTATATCCTTGCCCGAGGCAATGCTAACGGTTTTATTGGGTCCCTAGAAGCCAAGACTAAAGTGAAAAACTCAGATTCACCACTCTCAAGCAACGACAGTTTTGCGTACTTTAATGCCGATGATGTTCGTCTGCCACGACTCATTCGAATTCCAAGGCTGCAACTTCCCGACGAGTTCATTAACCGCCCTTTGCTGTATTCAAAGACAATGCTCTGCTTTTGTCGAATCAAAGCGTGGCCAACCAAGCACCAAAGTCCGACGGGCGAGTTTGTTAAGACAGTCGGAGAGTATACAGGAATTGAAACTGGCATATCGGCAATTTTGTCCAAGCATGGCCTACAAACACACACACTGGATTTCGACATCTCAATTTTGAACAAGCTGGATGAAAAGTATGGAACGAGTGGCGAAAAGTGGGAGATACCAGAAGAAGAGTTCCAGAAGAGACGAGATTTTCGCGAGACTCAGATCTTCAGCATCGACCCGTACAATGCCCGCGATTTAGACGATGCGCTGCATATTCGTGCTCTCAACGACACTCGTACTAAATTCGAGATCGGCGTCCACATTGCAGATGTAACCCACTTCGTTGAGCACAACTCATTGTTAGATCTTGAAGCTCGATCACGAGGTACTAGTGTCTATCTCGTTAATCGTGTGCTACCGATGTTGCCTCGTATTTTGTGCGAGAAACTGTGCTCGCTGCAACCGCAAGTAGATCGGCTGGCATTTTCAGTAGTGTGGCAGATGAACCTGGATGGCACTCTTGTCGAGGGTGTCGAACCGTGGTTCGGAAAGTCCATCATTCGCTCGTGTTGCAAACTCGACTACGGTTCAGCGCAAAAGATGCTCGATGGGTCTATCACTGGGGAGAATGTAGACGAATGGGAAGAGGACAGGCGTCCAATTCCCGGTGCGAACCCCAATATCACTAATGCCACAGTGGTCCAGAGCGTCAAAGACTTGTGGGGCATTGGTGAAAATCGTCGCGCGATGCGTTTTGAGACGGGTGCAGTGAGCTTGAACGATGTGAAACTTGTGTTTTCACTGGATGCAAAGGGAAATCCTATTTGGTACGGATCATATGAGCTGAAGGACAGCAATCGACTGGTGGAGGAATACATGCTGTTGGCGAACTACCTTGTTGCTCAGCAGTTGCTTCGTGCGCATGGTCCTTTAGCGTTCTTGCGTCACCACCCGCCGCCGGTCTCGCGGGCAATGGACCAGACGCTAGAGAAGTTAGATAAGAACGACATGAAGCTGGATGGAAGATCGACGAAGCAACTTACAGAGTCTTTGGAGCAGATTCGTCAAGTTCGTGGTGAAACAACATTTGTCATCGTGCAAGCGTTGATCATCAAACCTATGAAGCCAGCTGAGTACATGGTGGCAGGCAATGGTGCATCTCCCGAATCGTGGCGTCATTACGCACTCAATATTCCGTACTACACACATTTCACGTCTCCCATTCGCCGTTACGCTGATGTTGTCGTACATCGCCTTCTTCAGGAGAGTCTAGTGGGTGTATTGTCTTCAAACAACGACGCACCTGCTAGTGCAGTCACTGAGTCCAGGATGGTGGAGCTCACTTCGGTTGCCCAAATTTGCAACGAGAAGTCGATGACGTCCAAGAACGCCGAAAAAGAGTGTGACAATGTATTTTTGCGTGCCTTTATACAGCACAATGGTGATATCGAGGTGACTGGTGTCGTCGTGAGCATGGGTCAGAAGAGCTTTACAGTATATATTCTGGAACTGGGACTAGAACAGCGTCTTTTCCTTCAAGAAATTCGTCTGACCGGTTCATGGAATGAGAAAACTATGCAGCTTTCAATTCGCTTACCAGCACCACGAAAGCTCATAGACGAGAAGAAGGACCTTATGGAAAATGGCAATCAAGATGCCGTGAACAAGAAGATGAAAACAACGGTTTCGTCAGAAGTGATCAAGTTGTCGTTTATGAAGCAACTTCGTTTGCACATGTCGACAACGAAAAAAATGCCGCTGGCACTGACGTTTTCAGTTATTGGGGAAAAGAGCTAAGGTATTTCTTGATCAGTCAGTCCCATATAGGCCTAATGGTAGAAATGATGAAGTGCCAATACTTTTGTCAGGAGTAGCATGTTTTTTTGTCCAGTCGTATAGATCGGTCTATAATTCTGTCCACTTGTCAATCATGAACATCTTGACTCTAGCAGATCTAAGTGACAATGGGGCGCCACAATTACGCACGAATACGGACGACGACGAAGAATTTCTGATTGCAAGTTTCACTAACATTGAGATGTACGCTTCATTTAGCAATACGAGCGAAGATAACGACGAAGAATCGCAGACGCTGCTGTACAGTGGATCGACGGGTGCTTTATTCGTGACCACACAGCGCATAATTTGGCTCAACGCTGAGCAGTCCGTGGGTGGTTATGGGTGGGAGATGAGTTCTGTGACATTGCACGCTATCTCCAGAGACCCTGCTGCATTTCCAAAGCCCTGTTTGTACTGTCAGATCAGTAATCAGGACGTATCAGAAGTACACTTTGTTCCTGTGGATGACAAGACGTGTACGTGTTTTTCTATTGCTGCAACTAGCTATTGTAATGCTGGCCCTAATTGTGTTGTAATGGTGGGCCTTTATATATGTCCTGAGAGCAGTGTTAAAGGTATTTGACGCGTTCAGCAAGTCGGCAGAGATGAATCCTGATGATGACGAGGAGGAGGACGATGGATGGATTTGTGACGAGGATGAAGTAGCTGATGGAGCGAGAGCTGCTCAATTGGCAGCCCGTTTTGATTCAATGCTGGGTTTTGATGATCCAGTTCCGGAGTTAGGACAGTTTGACGACGCAGATGAAGATAGTCTACTGTAAAGGCAGAAGTGTCAGGCGATGTGCTTTTCGTCATGACAAATGCAATGCACGTGCGAAAACGAACTGCAAGAGTGAAAACCAGCTGTCTCGCCTGCTGCTGTACTTTTCCTTCATGTGTAAGTTGCCTACTTGCTGCGCAAATTCACAGCACTGTTGTGCTGCTAGAGAGCTCAGATCTTGTGAATCATGTTTTCTTTGTTGACCAAGTGGCACGTAGTCTCGACCAGACGAAGCAGCTGAGAAATATCCGCTGCGAGTACATGCACGGATGCAAATTATAAATCATACAACATCTTTAGAAATATGTGTGACAATAACAACGTACCCGACCAGTTGGAAAGCTGCTCTTCCGGTGAAAGCGGTCTGTGGAATGAAACGAGCTTGGCAGGGCGGTCGATTTTGGCATAAATGGATCCGTCGCTCACTAGGGTCGAGATAGAGCTTTCCGTCAGCTACCACACGCACAACAAAAACCCTTATTAGTTTACTTCGATGATCCATCTGCTCGATACAATCTGAACGTACGTCTTCCGCGAGTCCAATCATGTTGGCCAAGTGAGGTAGACGAATACGTTCGTAGTGTTCCGCCACCACACGGATGTTGTGCTCGACGACACGAGTATGAAAGGTCTTCCACCACTCAGCACCACGTTCCCCATGCTTGAAAATCGGATGTTCCTTCAGCACTGCATCCTGTTCCATGGGAAAGCCAATAATCTCCTTGGTCGTGAACTTCTTGAGCACCGCTGCAAAGTCCGGAGTCTTCTCCATTAACTTCTCACTGGCCAATTTATACAGCAGGTCGTTCTGCAAGTTCGAATAAGGTGACAGTACAACAAAGACCGTCGCATGTTCCAGTGCCTTCTTCCACATCTCCTCCTTCTCCTTGACCATCTCCGTATGAAAGATCGCCATCCAATGACGACATAACTCCAACGTATCATTCTCATGCGTGTCATACTCAATCATCAAGTGATAAAACTTGAGTTTACACTCTTGAAAGTCCTTTTCATCCAACGTACGACGTAAAATCTTCTTGGCCAAGATATTAGCTCTCACATAGTCTTTCTTAGCTAATGTAAGTCTCACTTGTTCCAAAATAAACTCTGTCTTTTCTAGTTTCGTCATTGCACCATACGTTTCAACATGAACTTCTTGTAAGATTGTAGCAGCTTCATCAATCTCTCCACGAGCTTCTTTCATCCTTGACAACATTTGGGTCAATGTAGCTCTCTCCTTTTCTAAAAAGATTTTTCCTTCGGCTACAGAACGTAGCGCATTGATAAGATCCATCTTAATAGCATCCGAAGGCGTCTCAACCAGATATTCCATTGCACGTTGGACTACGACAGTAATAGCACTGGATTTTTGAGCCCGACGCTTGGATAATAGCATTACATGGTCTTTTAATAAATCCCAACGTTTTGATTGCACACATAACGTGAGAATAGCGCCCACGGCCTCTTTTAATGTCGCCACGTCATTTGCCAGTCGCGCTTGTTTCTCTAATGACAACATCATCTCACATGCACGCTCAACGTCACCACTGGCAGCTACAGACTGGGCTTGAGGCAGTAAACGCTGATACTCGGGGCCCAAGTCCGCTTTTTTACCCATTTCGTCCGTGCTCATTATTGCTGCTAGTGAAGAATCTTTGGGAATATCCTCCCGATTTTGAGCGGAAGGTAGACTTAATACCTTTATAATCGGATATAACGTAGATATTTATTGTTTACGATCATGCTGCTACTTTACACCTTTTGTTTTGAGTATACCTGTCAAACATAGTCAAGCTAACTGTCCCAATTTAAGTTGGAAAGGTGATTTTTTATGTCAGACCAAAAGGCTCTCGACGACAAAAGGTGTTTTGTTACATGGACATAATGTACCCAATTATTGTGTAAAATGGGCAATACACGGTAACAAACATAGTCTAACCTGGAATCACACATGCCGAACGGCAACAAACACCTTTGGTCGATCTAGCGACGCCCTTTTTTATAAGGTACACGCTTTTTATCTGACGCGACTCTTAAAGCCGTATTTGCTAACGTAGTGCTTGACAGAAGTAAGTCTTCCATAATCAAGAGCAACACCATGTGGTGCACTTTTTGCTTAGTTGCTGAAAACGATAGAATGTGCTACAAATTACTGGAATGCAAGTCCAAGCGTGTAAATCAATTGATCTTCCAACTGCATATGGCAAAGTAAGTGTCTAGTTACGAATTTGGCCGGCATGTAAAGAGGTCTTATTCTCGAAAGAGCTAAAGAAGTTTACGTCTATACAGAATACGTTTGAAATTTATTATCGAGTCATCTTATTTTGGGTTATGTCGATGTAACAAATATAGGTTATCTGATTGATGACGTCGACCGTCAAAACCTTCCTAAATATCGAAAGATAAAATTAGGAATACAATGCCGAATATAGCAAAAATATATTACAAAAGAAAACAAGTAACAGAAGTTTCAATAACCTGCCGGAGGATATAAGTTATCGAATAGTCCATGGTATAATAGTTAATGCACCAGAGCGATGTCAAAAGTACTTACAGTATTAGAAATAACTTGTTGGAGGGAAACCTGTATATAGTATATTTGTTGCCTGACGTTACCGTTGTTGCTTGAACGTAAAGACGAATATACTACGTACTGTAAGAGCTTTGTTGTGATACCACAACACACTACAATGACTTGACCTAAGGCTTTTTCCTTTACTCGACCATGTAATGGCACGATAGATAGAGAGTGCCAAGAGCCCCTTTTTCACAACAAAAAGTATCGCAATGTTACTATTCTAGTTGGTGGTGTTCCTCCGGAGGAGGGGACTCGCTACCATTTAAAGAAAAAGGAGTCGAGTCTTCGTTTTCGCGGCAAGAAGCCGCAAGCTCAAATTGTGTAGCAGAAGTGAATACCAAGTCCTCATTTCCGCTACACAGCTTGAGCTTGCGGCTTCTTAAATATGTCAGCGCATTGCGCAACTGGATCTTCGTGGGCATGAGGTCTGCTCCGAATGCACCTTGCTCATGCAATGCCGTGAGCGTTTTGTAGATGGCCATGGGTTTTACGTCAGGGTACTCTTGTAACATGCGCACGATGTGCATTTTCATTTCCTCGGTTACCGATTTCTGCAAAGGCTCTGCGGAATCGTGTTCTTCGCTCAGATGCTGGTAGGCCTGACAGATAATGCCCAAGTACGTAAGCTGGCATGTAGACATGCGCACCTGCACGGGGCATGCGCGGAGCTTTCCCTGCGCATCCAGCAAACCCTTATTCTGATGTTGCCCTTGGGGTGGCACAGTGCAGAGGTGCATTTCGTCCACTGGACCTTCATCTTGTGTTCGGTATTCACAGCGTCCACGCTGATTTTATCATGGTTCATGGTGCAGCTGACAAGGTGCGTGTTGATAATGGCGTTGCGCTTGAGCGAGCGGCGGAACTCTTTCATTTCAGCCTCACTCTTGGTCTCGCCGATAGTATACCAGCTGCCATCCTCTGGGTTGTGAAGCAGACGTCGGATGTCCATGTTCACGCCTGCACTTGTGGTGTCCGATTCCAAATGAAGACTCGGGTGAGCAGGTGGATGCTAGTCAGTTCTTGGAAAGCGCAGCGCTGTATCTGTTGCAGTTGAGATGATGGAGAATCGAACAGGTTCGTCGACGTGCCGCTCAGTAATATGCCGTACGATGATGAGGTGGCGTAGTTCTGTTTGCTCGACTTAGCACGCTTCTTTATGGCGGTCAAAATTCGAAACTGTACGAGATCCGCCACCGAAGACAGCGCCGCCACCGAGGACCGCAAAAAGGCTGAACCGAGGGCTGTATACGATGGTGATGAGATCGATGGTGCAAAGAACCGGGGGCGCTCAGCTCTGATGACCGACTGATCGCAAGAGCGTCGCCGCTACAGAGAGAAGCGAGCTCACTGACAGCGGCGACAGCACAAGAGAAAATCCATGCAATGCTGTGCTTGCATGTCCACGGCCAGCTTCTGCATGGATTGCAATCGTTCTCAATCGAATGCGATTGCGAGATACTATTGCAATTTGCTATCTTGCGCAATTTGACATGGTCATGCCCCCATGATCATGCTACGGGTGCGTTAAATTCATGCGACGGTCAACATCATGCAAAACGGATCAAGAAATAGGACGCACTTTCGAGCATCGAATAAACGACATTGTTGCTCGTCAATTCGACGGCATCGTCTACACGATGATTTGGTACCGTCTAAAAAACGGATATATCGGCGGTGATAACTGAGACTTTCCAAGATCGTGAAACGATTTACAGCTGGATTTCGAGAATGATGCTTCGCGCGTCTTTACGCACTCTGGTCGACGCCAGACCAATAACAGCTTTCCACTGCCACGATTTGTTCGATCCGTCATCATGTAGCGTAAGTCGTGGCTGACAGTCAGTCAGGTCATTGGCGGCATATACTAATTAGCACGTGCATGTAGTAACATGGTGATCCAGATCTGCGTAGCACGCTATACACTGATATTAGTCTCAAGAAGTGTGAGTAGAAGTCCGACACAGCGAAAACCCGCTCGTCAGCGAGAGACAAGCGCCGTCCCAGCTGCGAGGCAACGGTGCGTGTACCGGCAGTAATACACTGTGTATGCACAATATAGGGAGACCAAATCGTAGTAGTCGCCGCCGAACTGATTTCAGAAACGCCCACGCGGTAAACTTGGACGAGCCATAGTCCGATCTGCCGAATAGATAGAGATCGCCTACTACTACTAAAGCTTTACAAAATCCGTAAATTTTACCAGCAAGTTCGCTGACCATCGGGAAGTGGCTCTGATACAAAGGCGATGCACGGTGCAACCGTTTCGTGCTTTGCACCTGCTGTATGAGCAGGGTCTTTGGTGACCATTCCGCGGTGCTGCTGTGGACCAGGCTCTGGCAGGTCGCATAACCACATGGCAAGGGCTTTCTCTACCCAACTGCTCTTTCAAAACGCAGTGCCTAAAACATACCACTTGTTTGAGATATCCATGTTTCACAAAACGACCGAAGACGTGCCTAGAACCGAAGTTCCTAGCATAACACCATCGCTGATCAGAACCGAAGTGACGACTTCGCAAATGGGAAAGTTGGCCATGCGACCTGCTAGCCTGTGTGTGAGAGAGAGCAACCCGAGCAAACTTACCGCCGATACTCAAGGAAGCTTAAAAGTTTCTAGTAAACGAAATGCACGGATTCACATTCAGATAGATCGATAAGCACGTGGTTGCTTTTCTCTGCTCTTTGCGCTTAACGCTAAGCATCATCTGAGGCTTGATCACTCATCAAAAGCTCTGTTTGACCACTATGTGACGAAAACAGATCCTGGAAGAAGACACTGCATATATCGCTTGCAGACACGTAACATCTAGTGAGAGATGGACAGACTGTATGTTGGACCAATTGAACGTTAGCCGCTAGAGCGCTCGGCTCTGGTTCAAGCGCCGCTCGTCTGCAACACGTACATCTACAGACTATAGAACGTACATGTGACAGTCTGACTTGCGACGGGCGCACGTTGGGAAAGTTGACGTCGCGTTGTCGAGGACAAAAGCTGGTCACCTGCGCGGCTATGGCTCAACTTCCAAGCCAAATCGGGGTTGTTCTTACCACATGCGCCGGTGCTCTTAATATATGTAGCTGCAACGAAGTGCCTTGATGACAAAGAGCTACAAGTTGCTGCAGACTACCAGCGACTGACGCATATAGTCACCTGGTAGAGTACAGGTTTTCGCCCGTTGCTGCACATGTCGAAGGTGCTGCAGTGTAGAGTCGAGGCGTCTCCTGTCCTGGCGATCGCCCTCGTCTGCATTCTCATTGACGCCATTGCTTTCCAGTCGCACGAACCGACCTCAAGTCGGAGCGATATCATGGATAGTTCGGCATTACTCCGAACTGGCATCGCGGTGCTGAGCGACCTTCACTTCACGTACCTGTACGACTGAAAGAATGCCTTCAGGTTCTCAGCTGATGAGCCTTCAAGTGGCTTGTTCTACGTACATCCGAGCGTTACGATACGATATAGTGAGGACGACACGGTGACGCCTGCATTTGTTTATGAAAGAGGAGTAGCAAACGATTTCCACAATACATAGTGTCGTCTACAGACCTGCAGTCAAAACTTGGTCTGGAAATGTGCTGACGTTAGAACAACGTCAAAAAATCTATAAAACTTCTTTGTTCATTGCTTCAAAAAGTTGATCCTGCAAGTGACGATGCCTGACCACTTCAAATTAGTCTACTGCGCTCGGCTTAGCCGTAAAGCTGAAGGTGGTCCGATCAGCATGCAGAAAACAGCGCAGTAGCAGCTCGGCCGCTTTCAGAGGTTCGATCCCAGCATACAATGGTACTAAGTGATCGTACGGATCGTCAACGCCCCTATCTCCTCTGAGTTCAAGGATGCGCCGCCTGTCGATCTCATATCAACCAATTGACCGGTTGAAGACTTTATGATGCATTCGACAAGAAGGCATAATGCGTCGCGTCGTCGTACTCGACAACAAGGTGCTGACAGAGAAAACACCCGTGCGACGATTCGAGCGTGCAATATTTAGGTGAGTGCAAACGCTGCGTCACACAAACAATTAAGTGGTGTGACTAGTTCGCATGTAGACGCAATGATCCGTCAGGCTTTACATCAACGGGAACATATTGACGTTCCTCGACATCCACAAATACGCAAAATTCCGCCTATTGCATCTCCAATTCAACACGTTTCATAGCCTGTATGTAACATAGTGCTACGCAACGCAATATTTTGACATTACACCTTCAACTTCCACTCCACCAAAGACATTTCTGCAATGCGCTGAGTAATAGAGCCTTCTTCGATGCAGTGATCGCGCCCTCAAACTTTTCTGCGATCAAGTAGGTCATTTGGCCTCCTCTGTATTGAAATCTGCACTCTTCGGATTGTAAAGAATCTTGAGTGACACTTTCATGCCCCCGGGCTTTTAGCTTGCGCGTTTCTTTTCACGTCATCTCATTCAAAGTGATACAAGCTCCAGATGCAGCTACGAAACTTTCTGCATCGGACTTCATCCTGTCAAGATGAACTCGAATTCCATACAATGAGGTATTTGACAGCATAGTCTTCTCATCTTGTCTGGTCGCGGAACTTCAATGATAACTTCCAACTGAGTTTTAGCTTACCAATGAAGTCTCTAATGTAACAGACAGCGGCACTAATGTTCTAGCTGATTGACCATCAAGATACATTTTACTGTCGTAGTGAAGGCATGATTTGTGCTTGAGGCTTTCTAGGATACATCACCGTTTACATCGTTCTCGGCAAAAGTCTTTTCTTCAACAAACGTCGACCTCTCTTAAACCTCACAATAAATTTTTGAATACTGTGGTGCAGCAACGTTAGAGGTAAGCTCCGGAACTTGTTAAGTCCCCTAAACTTTGAGGCTTTCTCAACTGGAAACGAAGCAACGTATGTAAGAGGAGCAACAACTTTGCGCATTTGCTGTTCAATGCGTTGTTTGAGTTGGTCCAGTTCAGTGATACAGCAGTCTGCCTCCATGCTTTTCCCCAATAATCAGATACTTTCGAATCCTCCCTCAAGTGAACAAGTGTTCATCGCTTCGTTCGCCCAGCTCTCTCCGCTTCGTTTTCCCTCTCCAAGCCGCTCAAGTTACAACAGGTTATGAGCCCAAGGGCCATGTCCTCAAGCAACGCCTCGACCAGTATCTCCATCGATAAGTTCGATGGAGACAATTATGCAACGTGGTGTCGTTACATGCGTGGCGTGTTTCTGACCAAGTCGGTCTGGTACGTCGTGAACCGAGAAACGACTCCAAGCTTCGCCGACCCGCGAGCGTCTGATGACTACGTCAAGGCAAGCAACATCGCATTCGATTTGATGTTGCTCCACACGGATGCGGACTACCACCATGTGGTCGACGACTGTGAAGAAGCATGGGTCGCATAGTCACGTTTAAAGACGCTGTATGACGGCTCGCAGAAGGCGGGACGAATCTACCTCAAGCGTCAGCTGTTCAGCATGAAGATGGCGAAAGGAGAATATGTGTTGCATCACTGCAATGATGTCTTGAACATCGGCGCCAAGCTCAGCAGCATTGGCGCCAAGATGGAAAAAGAAGACATCGCAATCTTCCTGCTGCTCAGTCTCCCTAAAAGTTTCGACAACGTGGTTCTGAACTTGGAGATGAGCAGCGCAGAACTTCGTACCCAAGATGTATTCAAGGTGTTGACGAACGAGCACGCCAAGCGTCAAGGGGAAAAGGTGACGACAACTGAGAATACGGTGAAGACTGAAGATGCAACAAAGGCATTCAGTACCGAGAGTGAGTCCTACCAATGCACGTATTGTGGCAAGGTTGGGCACACGGTGGATCGCTGTTGGACGAAACAGAAAATTGAAAGCCGTGGAGCTCGATGCGGCGGTAATGGCCGTGGACGCGGAGCTAATGGGAACAACACAATGAAGACAACGGCTACGATCAAGTAGCGTTTGCTATATGGCTGGAGTGTGGGATCTCTACAA